TTACTCCCACTGCGTCTGTAAGATGAGTATTACCACATGATTTTATGGTGTTGAGATTACCGTCTGTAGGATGAGTATTACCACATGATTTTAGGGTGTTGAGATTACCGTCTGTAAGATGAGTATTACCACATGATTTTATGGTGTTGAGATTACCGTCTGTAAGATGAGTATTACCACATGATTTTAGGGTGTTGAGATTACCGTCTGTAAGATGAGTATTACCACATGATTTTATGGTGTTGAGATTACCGTCTGTAAGATGAGTATTACCACATGATTTTAGGGTGTTCAGATTACTGTCTGTAAGATGAGTACTACCACATGATTTTATGGTGTTTAGATTACCGTCTGTAAGATGAGTATTACCACATTATTTTATGGTGTTCAGATTACCGTCTGTAAGATGAGTATTACCACATGATTTTATGGTGTTGAGATTACCGTCTGTAAGATGAATATTACCACATGATTTTAGGGGTGTTGAGATTACCGTCTGTAAGATGAGTATTACCACATGATTTTAGGGTGTTGAGATTACCGTCTTTAAGATGAGTATTACCACATGATTTTAGGGTGTTCAGATTACCGTCTGTAAGATGAGTATTACCACATTATTTTATGGTGTTGAGATTACCGTCTGTAAGATGAGTATTACCACATGATTTTATGGTGTTGAGATTACCGTTTGTTAGATGAGTATTACCACATGATTTTAGGGTGTTGAGACTACCGTCTGTAAGATGTGTACTACCACATGATTTAAATTGATGTCCTTTTCTGTTAAAACATACAATTGTTCTAAGGTCTCAACGTTAAGGAGAAAGAGGACAGTGTTACGTGTTATGAATCTCTGAATATAGTGATATTTTCAGTTGACGAAATAATTCAGGAGACATAGGTGAGAGTATACAGCTGTATTTTCCACTGTTTAATGTTGAATAACTCTGTACATTTTTGTAATTTTGGTGATCCTTTGATAACCGCTAGGGGGAGGAAGGAGCAAATGACACCTTTGTCCTCTTGTTAGCCCCGTCCCTGTTACTAGCTTATCTATATTTTATTTGAGGTTTACTACACACAAGTTTTCCCTGTGGTGACTCATTAGCAGACTTTGGGCTTATAACACTAACTATAGGAGTTCTATGCCCGTGGCGAGTACAGCGCAGATAACTCATTGTGTATCAAGCATACTGTTGGTGTGAAAGTGCTGTGTAATCGCTGTGATATAGGACTAGTTTATCTCTCTTTGGTTAACTTGTGTTCAGAGTTACTGATGAGGAGTGGAATTCTCCGAAACTAGTATAACACACGTTGATCAAAGTGTAGATTGAACTGAACCTCCCTTGAACTCCAAAGTCGAGGTTAAACAATTTTCGGAATACTAAGTTAACTTATTATATCTGCTATTGTGTGGCTATAAAATGTGAAGAACTGAATAATGGCTAATAACACTTTTTCTTCACTTCAAATATTCAGTGTTTAGGTTTTTCCATAGTGACTACAAAGAACGTTCACACCAACAATATGTTTGATACTTTCACTATTGTATATTATATAGCTTCTCTCTATTTGGTTAACTTGTGTTCAGAGTTATTGATGAGGAGTGGAATTCTCTGAACCTATTATAACACACGTTGATCAAAGTGTAGATTGAACTGGACTTCCCTTAAACTTCCTGAAATTGTTATATCTCAAAGTCTAGGTGTTTCAAAACAAATATAAATTTAATTGCCAGAACTGAATTCATGTCAAGCTGCTGTAGTCCACGAGTTAATATATCCGTTCTGTTGGCGTACATTGTCTCTGGTTTCACATAGGACATGCTCACAAACGATGTGAAGATGACGGAAACTGGTTCGTTCATCCAGTGACCAACAAGGCTTGGTCTAATTACACTACCTGCGTTGATAAAGATGACTTAAATGTAAGTTCATGTTTTTCTCTTTCAAATCAAGGCAGAATAATTCAATTCTTTAAAAAATATATAGTTTACAGATACAAAATTTTTATCATTTAAAATATTTCACGGACTATAATAAGCCTAATTTTGTTAGAGTTACTTTTGGAACTCCTTGCAACCGGTATAATTTAGTGACAAATGGTGAACCGAATGTTAGATTAGGCTTTATATTTCATTATTATTAAGAAATCATTAGGTGTATACGAGTTATGTTGTTTAGATTTACACGAGTTATGTTGTTTGTTATTGTTTAGATTTACACGAGTTATGTTGTTTGTTATTGTTTAGATTTACACGAGTTATGTTTTTCGGTACTGTTTAGATTTACACGATTTATGTTGTTTGTTATTGTTTAGATTCACATGAGTTATGTTGTTTGTTATTGTTTAGCTTTACACGAGTTATGTTGTTTGTTATTGTTTAGATTTACACGAGTTATGTTTTTCGGTACTGTTTAGATTTACACGAGTTATGTTGTTTGTTATTGTTTAGATTTACACGATTTATGTTGTTTGTTATTGTTTAGATGTACACGAGTTATGTTGTTTGTTATTGTTTAGCTTTACACGAGTTATGTTGTTTGTTATTGTTTAGCTTTACACGAGTTATGTTGTTTGTTATTGTTTAGCTTTACACGAGTTATGTTGTTTGTTATTGTTTAGATTTACACGAGTTATGTTGTTTGTTATTGTTTAGATTTACACGGGTTATGTTGTCTGTTATTGTTTAGCTTTACACGAGTTATGTTGTTTGTTATTGTTTAGATTTACACGAGTTATGTTTTTTCGGTATTGTTTTATTTCAAAGTCTCGTTCACACCAACAGTATGTTTGATAGCTTTACACTAATTTTTTTTTCAGTATTGTTTATATTTACACAAGTTATTTTTTCAGTGTTGTTTATATTTACACAAGTTATTTTTTCAGTATTGTTTATATTTACACAAGTTATTTTTCTCAGTATTGTTTATATTTACACAAGTTATTTTTTCAGTATTGTTTATATTTACACAAGTTATTTTTTTCAGTATTGTTTATATTTATACAAGTTATTTTTTTCAGTATTGTTTATATTTACACAAGTTATATTTTCAGTATTGTTTATATTTATACAAGTTATTTTTCAGTATTGTTTATATTTATACAATTTATTTTTTTCAGCATTGTTTATATTTATACAAGTTATTTTTTCAGTATTGTTTATATTTACAAATTGTATGCTGTTTAGTATTTTTTAGATTAACACAGGTTACATATTTACGTTTTTATTCTGTTTAACACTTTACTCAACGTAATGTCAATACTTCATTTTTGGAATGAAATTTGTTAAGCCTACTTCTGACATTTACATAATATAAAATAATATAACTTTTGAGAAAGATGATTGAAGTGAAAAAAATCATAAATTGTTTTTAATTTGAATTAAATATAGATTTAAATCATAACCGATTCTCTTATTTATGGATATATATAATTTGGCCCTGGTTAAGTTTTACACTGAAGATATATATAATTTGGCCCTGGTTAAGTTTTACACTGAATATATTTATAATTTGGCCCTGGTTAAGTTTTACACTGAATATATTTATAATTTGGCCCTGGTTAAATGGATTCAAATACTTATTATTCAAATATTTATTAATTATACAATAGCTTCTGTTATAGAAATTAAACAAGTCGACATTGTCGTCCCCATACATTGTTTCTCTACTATACGCTGACATTGTCGTCCCCATACAACGTTTCTCTACTACAGGTTGACATTGTCGTCCCCATACAACGTTTCTCTACTACAGGTTGACATTGTCGTCCCCATACAATTTGTATCTACTACAGGTTGACATTGTCGTCCCCATACACGTTTATCTACTACAAGTTGACATTGTCGTCTTCATACAACGTTTCTCTACTGCAGGTTGACATTGTCGTCCCCATACACGTTTATCTACTACAGGTTGACATTGTCGTCCCCATACAACGTTTCTCTATTACAGGTTGACATGGTCGTCCCCATACAACGTTTTTCTACTACAGGTTAACATTGTCGTCCCCATACAACGTTTCTCTACTACAGGTTGACATTATCGTCCCCATACACGTTTATCTACTACAGGTTGACATTGTCGTCCCCATACAACGTTTCTCTACTACAGGTTGACATTGTCGTCCCAATACAACGTTTCTCTACTACAGGTTGACTCTTCATTTTTGTCTACTTCCAGTTCCGTCACAAGATCAACAAGTTGTATATTTCCGGGTACTCGGTATCCGTCATCGCTCTCACCATTTCCTTGGCGATATTCTGCTACTTTAGGTGAGTCTTGTTGGACTGTTTCATTGTTCTCACTATCAAGTTTTTTTTTTTATCATACATGGATCCACTGGTACGTTAAGTATATTTACATGTCTTTACCCCCACCTTAGATCGCTGAAATGCACGAGGATCACCATCCACAAAAATCTTTTTATATCGTTCATCATAAACAACGTTCTGTGGATTGTTTGGTACACTACGGTCATCAGATATCCCGCAGTACTCTTTAGTAATAAGGTAAGATGTTAGCAGACACGAAAGAACGAAATAGTACTGAGAAAAACAATTTCTCTTTAACAAGTATCTTTTAGAACCTTCTGTTTCAACATAATATCTAAGTGTTCATTCGCCTCGTGCAAACATTTCAAACCCTAGTCACGTGTCTTTCTCCCATGCCAGTTTTACTTCTTTGCATAATAAGTAAATAATAAAGACGAATAAGTCTTAGTGTCAGTAATACTAAGTTCTAATATATTTAGTTTCCATTCTTCCACTTTATTCGGCAACTATACGTAGATGTTAGCTAAGTTTCAGTTTTGTTTCTACCCACAGCCGGCTTGTCAGATCTTGCACGTCCTGGTTCACTACTTCTTACTCAGCAACTACATGTGGATGTTCTGTGAGGGACTCTACCTACACACACTTTTGGTGAGAGCATTTGTAGCTGAAGACAAAACAATGAAATGGTTCTACATCCTTGGCTGGGGTACGTTAGCAGATTGTGTACTTATACTTGTATCAAAATAGACCATTTGTTTGATTGTTACAAATAGACAAAGATTTAAATAAACCAATAAACAATAGTGTTACAGATAGACAAAGATTTAAATAAGCCAATAAACAATAGTGTTACAGATAGACAAAATGTAAATAAACCAATAGAAAATAGTGTTTGATTGTTACAGAAAAACTAAGCCTTTCGTAAGCACATTGATATGGGCTAAAATTTAGAATTGAGTCCTTGCTGATAGAAATAACTCATTAAATTATACAATAGTTTGATCATATTTCACGATATTAATGACTTGAAGAGTTTTGGAATAAATAAACACTGAATATAGCGATTAAAAGTAAATACCAATAAAACATGAAAAACTATTTAATAGCTGAACATTATTATTGTTTTGTCGTACAGGATGTCCAACAGTGGTGATCATTACTTACGCCAGCGTAAGAAGCTCGTATCCAGAGGAGACAATCTTGTAAGTTATGTAACGTACACATTATTTGAAGTAGGTAATGGTGCAATATGACGTACACATTGTATGAAGTATGTAATGGTGTAATATGACACATATTGTATGAAGTAGGTAATGGTCTAATATGACGTAGACATTGTTTGAAGTAGGTAATAAACAGTGTTATATTATAATGTATGCATTGTGTGAAGTAGATAATAAACAGTGTTATATTATAATGTACATATTGTGTGTTTATTACCTACTTCACACAATATGTACATTATAATATAACACTGTTTATTACCTACTTGCACACAATACCAACATCACCATGTGTCATTTGCTTGCTTATACACACACAATACCAACATCACCATGTGTCACTTGCTTCCTTATACACACACAATACCAACATCACCATGTGTCACTTGCTTACGTACACACACAATACCAACATCACCATGTGTCCCTTGCTTGCTTATACACACCATCACAAAAAATGGAAATACCCAACGTAGCACTATAACTATGAGAATAATAAGTTAACACCCAAAACTAGTAACATAATTAAAAGACCTACCAACATGAAGACGCACACTGGTCCTGAAATAATCCAAGTAAATCGGCTTTCCTCAATCCAACAGCTGTAAAGAATCAACACTATTAACTATTTCAGCTTCACACAATGTATACATTATTATATAACACTCTTTATTACCTACTTCACACAATATGTACATTATAATATAACAATATTTATTACCTACTTCACACAATGTATACATTATAATATAACACTGTTTATTACCTACTTCACACAATATGTACATTATAATATAACACTGTTTATTACCTACTTCACACAATGTATACATTATAATATAACACTATTTATTACCTACTTCACACAATATGTACATTATAATATAACAATATTTATTACCTACTTCACACAATATGTACATTATAATATAGCACTGTCACTTGCTTGCTTATACACTACATGGTGATGTTGGTATTGTGTGTGTATGTAAGCAAATGACACATGGTGATGTTGGTATTGTGTGTGTATGTAAGCAAGTGACACGTGGTGATGTTGGTATTGTATGTAAGCAAGTGACACGTGGTGATATTGGTATTGTGTGTGTATGTAAGCAAGTGACACATGGTGATATTGTTATTGTGTGTGTATGTAAGCAAGTGACACGTGGTGATGTTGGTATTGTGTGTGTATGTAAGCAAGTGATACGTGGTGATGTTGGTATTATGTATGTATGTAAGCAAGTGATACGTGGTGATGTTGGTATTGTGTGTGTATGTAAGCAACTGGCACGTGGTGATGTTGGTATTGTGTGTGTATGTAAGCAAGTGACAGGTGATGATGTTGGTATTATATGTAAGCAAGTGACACATGGTGATGTTGGTATTGTGTGTGTATGTAAGCAAGTGGTGAGTTATTATTGTGACACATGATGATGTTGGTATTGTGTGTGTGTATGTAAGCAAGTGGTGAGTTATTATTATGTCTTTCTTCAACTGGTCAGATATTATTATGTGGTTCTTCAACTTGTGAGTTATTATTATGTGGTTCTTCAACTGGTCAGATATTATTATGTGGTTCTTCAACTGGTGAGTTATTATTATGTGGTTCTTCAACTGGTCAGATATTATTATGTGGTTCTTCAACTGGTGAGTTATTATT